ATGAAACCATGGCCACGACTTCTTCAGTCTCATTAATTTCTTCCAATTATTCAATTTCCTTAATTATTGCCCTTTTTCTCCTCCTCTCCCTCTCATATTGCTCCAATCATTACACTTTCAGGGTATGTATCTGCAAAAAATTATCAATTAGTTAAACTATATATTTCATTAATACTTGTATATTTAATGTTGTTATACATTAAATAGCAGGATTTGACGGCATCTGAGGAAAAAGCGAGGCTTGGGTCAACGCCGCCGAGCTGCCACAACAAGTGCAATCAGTGCCACCCATGCGCGGCGGTGCAAGTGCCAGCACAGCCGAGTCGGAGCCGGGTCGACCCGGGTTCGGCCCAGGAAAAATACCCGGACCCGTCAACGGGTAACAGGTACTCGAACTACAAGCCACTTGGATGGAAGTGCACATGCAATGGCCACGATTATAACCCTTAGGTTAATTAAATACAAATATTGTTAAAATCATATCTTAATATATAATTAGCATTTGTAATCGGGAAGTGGGATTTTGTCGATTGTTTTCCCTGTATTTACAACCACATATCTACTTTATGTGATATTTTGTTTTTCCTTTTTTCGTTAATTGTTTTTTCCTGTTTTTCCTTTTTTCTTTAATTGTTTTTTCCTCTCAATTTCGTTTGGGGTCCCTTGAATTCAGAGAAAGACAATTAGACATATTAAATAAGATACATTTATTGGGGGTGTCTGGTCAGCAAAATCTACGTACAGAAAATTTATTGCTGGATATTTTAGACTGACTTTGGTTGTTGTTTTAATTCACTTGCAATAAATTTGTTTTTCCATGAAACATAAAATTGCAATTCCTATTTGAGAAGGTCGATTGAGATGGGATCTTTCTATTTTTGAATCATCTTATACCATCTCCAACCGAAAAATTCATTTTCAAACCTATTTTACAGTAATTGTTACATTAAACAGTAATTCATCTCTACAAGAAAAAAGTCATTCTCAAATCCAAAAGAATATTCTCAAAATATTCTCTTTCAAATAAACTTTACAAATTTTCAATACTACCTATATATTTTAACAATTAGACCCCTAATTATTTTATATTTGATTGAAGAAATAATAAATTAATTATAAATTAGTAATATGTATTATTAAAAAATATAGAATAAATATTTTTCAGTAAGTAAAAAGTACATTATTCTTTATTTTAAATTTGAATAATAATTTAAAAAGGTTATATTATTTGAATTTATTATCAATATTTTCTTAAACACTTCAGGAATTAATTCAAACTTTTTAGGAATGTCCTAGAAATTTTTACAAATACTTTCTTAATTTTTTGATTAAATCTATTATAGAAAGCGCCCATCATATATAAATATCTTATTTTATTTGGGTATACTTCATATTTTTAATATTATTTTATTGTAACTAGTAAGATAAATATATGTATAAATATAAATTAGAGATAAAACATTATTACAAACAGGTGAAAAAAAAACTAATAAATAGAATAAATTACATAGGATAAAACATAAAATACAAAATAAATTGTAAAAGACATTTTTGTGAGTAAGGCCAAAAATTGCGATTTTATAGATCGGTTGGAGTACATCTCTCGTATCTAATATTAATCTAATAAATGTTAAAATGAATATTTAAAAAGCATAGTTTTGATATACATTACTTCTATGCCCAATTTCATAAATATGACAAATAAAAAAATCAATTAAAGAGAACCGATTTTTTTTTCTTTTAATTAATTAAAGAATATGATATATTTATTTACGAGATTGGCTCAACATAAAACTGTTCATGCATAACCTAATTACAGAAACGAAAAAAATTACTGAGAATTGAATTACAATAAAACCATGAACCAGTTATAGTACTTCTATAAATGTCCATGGTCTTTTTGAAAATAACATTCACTTATAAATGTTGCAATGCCAAATAAAATAACATTTAAAAAAATAAATAATATTTTAGGGAAATTTTGTAAATTTTAGAAGTTATCTGGGGTTTTTTATTTTTTTTTTTATTTTTTCCAACGATAATTTAACAATAATATTAAACTCAATCGAATGTACAAACGACTAAACAACTTATTACAAAGAATATCAACACCAATNTAACACACACACACACAAAAGAACAAGACGAGAAAGAGTTTAACAAAATATAAATTTCCATTGCAGTTATACTAACATTCGAGCCAAACTGAAGCTTTCTGTTAAGATATTGAACAACGTCATTGATCTCTAAACAACAACACAGGTCCTTCCAGCTCAACAAAGTGACAATTTTGTCATCCATCTAACTGCAACAATGGTGGCCTCTAATGAATCTCCAGCAAAATTCCTAGAGGTTGACCAGACTTGCACAATTTTCTATTTTTTCTCAACTACTCCCCAAGACCAACCATGCCACTTGGAGAGATATGAGCACGGATAGTTAAAAATAACTGCCCTACTCCGTTACTCCATTGGAAAAATTCTCATCAAGTGTTTGACTACTCTGCAAAGCTCCCACAACACCCATAGCTATTAATTATACCTAGACATGGCCAAAACCCTGTTCCGAGCCGCATTTTTTGGGGCCTGAATCGGCCCGATCATATGCACAAGTTGGTTCAATGAACAAGTGGTTCTGAGCCGGTTCCGAATCGGTTTTTAAATAGATTGATACAAATTACTCTCGTGATTAATATCAATTGTGTTTCGATTGGGTTGATGCAAACTGCCCATTTGCTCGATTGTTGAAATGCATATTGTTATTTAGAATGTTAAATCCATAATTGTTTGATTGTTCTAATATTTGTGGCAAATAACATAGTTGACTACTAAAGGTTTTCAATTGTATGCTTAAGGAGATATATGATCTAGTCTAAATGATCCTACATGTGCGTTTGTTGGCTAGAATTGGTGGTTCTTCTGATTCAATGCTGTTAATAGATTAAATCTCATGATCGTATCTAGGGTTGTCCGTTGATTAGAGAAATAGTTAGAGATCGTATCCTAATTATCGTAAAAGTAAGAAAGGATAGGTTGTTAGGTCGTACCAATAACCAGTTTAATCGAGAATATGAGAATTATCTTTGCATCCGTGATCGAATCGTTGAACCATTTCTACGAGTTTTTCCTTTGGTTGGATATCTTCTCTATTTTTGATCTCTCATTTTGTGTTCGTATTTAGTTAGATTTTATTTTATTTTATTTTTATTAGTTAGATAAAATCATCAAAACCCCCCATATTTTTTTTTTATTTTTATTTTTATTTCATGAATAGTTGAATCAATACACTGTCTAGCCAATCCCTGTGGATACGACCCTGCTTACCACTACTACAGTTATTTTAGAAGTAGGAATTTATTATGGCGCCAAAAATTGATGGGTGTCGAAACCAACAATAATAAATTCCTGCTTCTAAAATAACTGTAGTACTAGTAAGCAGGATCGTATCCACAGAGATTGGCTAGACAGTGTATTGATGCAACTATTCATTAAATAAAAATAAAAATAAAAAATGATAGAGGGTTTTGATGATTTTATCTAACTAATAAAAATAAAATCTAACTAGATACGAACACAAAATGAGAGATTAAAAATAGAGAAGATATCCAACCAAAGGAAAACTCGTAGAAATGGTTCAACGATTCGATCACGGATGCAAAGATAATTCTCATATTTTCGATTAAACTGGTTATGGTTATTGATACGACCTAACAACCTATCCTTCCTTACTTTCTCGATAATTAGGATACGATTTCTTACTATTTCTCTAATCAACAGACAACTCTAGATACGATCATAGGATTTAATCTATTAACAGGATTGAATCTAGAAGAACCACCAATTGTAGCTAACAGACGCACATATAGGATCATTTAGACTAGATCATATATCTCCCTAAGCATACAATTGAAAACCTTTAGTGGTCAACTATGCTATTTGCTATAAATATTAGAACAATCAAACAATTAAGGATTTAACATTCTAAATAACAATATGCGTTTCAACAATCGAACAAATGGCCAGTTCGCATCAACCAATCGAAACACAATTGATAATAATCACAAGAGATATACGAATAAAAGAGAATAGGGAATAGAAAATTCAATTAGATCTCACAAATCATGAAGAACCAAATTTAGAATCATCTTTTGGCTCGAAAATAAATTAATTCTCCATAAACATGGGAGTCTTCTCCCAATTATTCATGAAAAATAAATTAAAAGAAGAAAAAAGAGAAGAGAAGAGAGTGTGCGTCGATGGGGAGGAGAAAGAAAAAAAGAGAGATCATAAAATAAATCTAGCAATCTGGTTTTTAATTAAACCAGTCTAATCCTAATCCTAGCAGAAAATACGTAGAAAATAATAAAGAGTTCATTCTCTCTCCAAAATATCCTAATAAAATATAATAGCCCAAAATTAAAGACTCCTAAAAGGTTTTATTATTCTCTTTCCAAATCAAGACTCCTTCCTTCTTCCAAATCTCATAAGCAATGAAGTCAATCTAAGATGAGTTCATAAAATGAGCGGAAGCAAATAAATAAATAATAATAATAAAAGGCAAGACCACCTAGAGTGGTGTAGTGGTGGCAATGCTTATATTTTAATTTGTTATAAGTTTATATTTTATTAGCTTAATTTAATATAATTTATATTATCTTTTGAATTTAATTTGATTTATCCATGTGTAATGTCTATATGTATTAAATATTATTAGATCTAACACTCAACCTAGAGTGGTGTGGTGGTGGCAATGCTTACTACACACCTTTGAGGTCTAAGGTTCGAACCCCATTGGTAGCAAATTTTATTTAGCTAATTTCTCGTGATAAATTCAGTTTATCGTAAATATATATAAAATATTCGGAGGAATAACAATGGAAGAAATGAAAAAAAAAAAAAGGATCGTGCGCATTAGTTAGTTAAATATAAGGGGGTGTCATGCAATTTTTAAAACACGGAGGAGTAACGCGCACATTTCGTATAACACATGGGGGTTTGATGCAATTTTCTAATTGTTTCCAGCCCTTCAATCGATGTATAGTGATTACATAGATTCAAGCAAAAGGTCATGAGTCAGCACCTCCGTACGCTGCCATGTGTCCCCTTTGTTCCACCGATTTACGCAAACGGTCATGAGTTAGCACCTCCGTACGCCACAATGTGTCCCCGTCGTTCTTGAAAAGACGCGCCCCACGATGGCTTTTCATCTCCAGTTCTCTCTCCTCATTAATTGAACACAAGCAACCTTATTCTCAGTCAGCTGGCGTGTTGTACGATTGTTGACAATTCCAAATAAATCCATATTGACGATCATTAATTGTCGCTCACCAAGCGATCGTTCAGAAACAAGATATACAGTCAGCTTCTCGGGCCCCCTAGTGACAATTCGATCCCCAGGACGCCCCGAAAGCCTGTGGGGCCCCTTGTTAGATGTAAGAATTTCTAGGCTTACCCTAGAGAAGTGTGAATTCGCATAAATGGGCCAGTCCAAGACTAGCCAAGCCCACTACTCAAGCTCATGAAATGGACAAAAAAGCCCAAGAGTCCCTTGCCAGCATTATGTCGATCCCTTACTAATTCAATTGTTGATCCGTCTATTAGTAACATTTGATGTTCACTTTGGAAAATGTGAATAGAAACAGGCAAATTAAACCGGTAAAGCTACCGTCCAACCAATCCGATCATTAAAAGCCAAAATGAGCATTCCATCCCCTTTTTTTTTTTTCCAAAACGATATATTCATTAACGAAAAACACATAATTACAGCCGGCTGACAACCGAAATAA